TGTGTGTGTGTGTGTGTGTGTGTGTGTGTGTGTGTGTGTGTGTGTGTGTGTGTGTGTGTGTGTGTGTGTGTGTGGAATGTACGTGGGACGTGCGTGCAAGGCCGTGCATGAACAAAGACATTTGAGTCAGCACGTCGCATGCCACCACGATGGCCGTGCAATGTAGCATTGGGCATCACATCACCTTGCGCGCTTGATGTGCGGGTCGACAATGTTGACCATCTTGCGCTCCTTGACGTTGAGTGCATTCTGCATTGCCGCTGGATCAGGGAACTTGGTGCGGTCCCACGTCATGTACCTGCACACAATATGTGGGAGGGGGAAAGGGGAGGCGTAAGTTCTTGGTAAACAAGAAGAAACACAGACAGGCCGGCAGAAGGGGTAGGTTAACAGGCATATAGGCAGACGCATGTGCGCGCACACACACACACACACACTGACAACACACACACACACACACATATGCACCACTCCCACCCCGGCCCTCTACACGCATTCAGCAGCACCTCTTTCCGTCTGTGTGCTCAATGTCGAGCCAGATGACGTCTGCCGGGATGTCCGCTTCGTCCAGGCGCCGGTCAACCAGCGCAACATCCTGCAGCGGGTGGTGTGTAGTGGGGTTGGGGTACATGTGTGCGTGTGTGTGTGTGTGTGCGTGTGTGTGTGTATGTGTGTGTGTGTGTGTGTGTGTGTGTGTGCATGTGTGTGTGTGCTTGCTTCCCACGCGGGTGCAACGTGAGCACCTCCTGATCGTTGTAGTTCCAGCGGCACTGGTGGTAGGCGAGGCTGAAGAGCGGCGGCAGCTCAGGCATGCCTGCACACACATGTGTCGATGGCGGAAGGACACAGAATGAAGCTGTATAAAGAGGCAAGAAAACACGCCCACACACACACACACACACACACACACACACACACACACACACACATAAACACAATCAACACACAGAGACACAGACACAGACACAGACATACACACACATCCTCCACCCTCCTCAGCCCACTCCAGCCGTAACACGTGGCGCACCTGTGACTTTTGCGTACTGCGCAAAGACGTCGTGGGGCTTTGGCCCGAGGAAGACAAACAGGTCCACAACGCCACTCTCCACCACCCACTGGGTGTCGACAGACGCGCGGGACGCCGTGTTGCCATCGCCGCCGGCCTGTGCCGATGGGGACGAGAAGAGCGAGGAGAGGGCACGCAGCAGCCGCGTGTGCACGGGAGATGACGCACCAGACCGCTGCACGTGCACCCACATCTCCGCTGCGTTGAGCAGCAGGGCGCCCGTCGTGTGGCGCCGGCTGTGCCCGAGCATGTACGGGATGCTGCCAGGTGACCGAGGGATTACGGAGGATGAGTGACCATCGTGTGAATGTATGCGAATGTGTGAATGTGTGTGTGTGTGTGTTTGTGTGTGAGTGTGTGAATGTCTGGGCGCTTGGGCTGTGCGTATGTGCGTACATGCGTGCGCATGAGCATGTGCGCAAGGATAACACACACGCTACAATCGTAGAAGCATAGCACCACCAGCCTCACGAGCCTCACCACGAGCCTTACCCCACCACCACCGTCACCACCACGGCCTCACCTGCCGTAGAGTGCCATTGTCTCCTCCAGCTCGTACTCAAACACATCGAGATTGTACAGCCGGTACGGCTTGGTCCGCCTGCCGCAACAAGGCACCGCGACGGAACGATGGAAAAAGAAGAATGAGGGCGTGTAAGTGTATGTGTGCGTGAGTGTGCGTTCGAGTGTGCGTTCAAGTGTGCGTGAGTGTGTGCGTGTGTATGTGTGTGTGTGTGTGTGCGAACACTGGCACGCAAGCGTATGCTATTGTCCTTATGCTTCTTCCCAACACACCAAACAACCTGTGCCAAACACCACCACCACCACCACCACTCGCGCTTACTCTGTGTCGCGAAGAGCAAACGAGTCTGCGTGCTCGGGAATGCCGTACACGTGTTGCGCATCGTGGAACGTCAGATCAAGCGAGACTGAAGCCATGTTGGGTGGTGGTGGTCGCAATCGGTGAGGAGGGTGTTCAAGTGAAAACTGAGAACTGAGATTAGTCTAACGCATGTGCGTTGCAATCACACATCCACCCACCCACCCACCCACCCACACACACATCCACCCACCCACACACACACACATACACACCCACACCCACCCACATACAGCACACCCTACTTGCAGTTGGGCCGTGGGGCTTGCTGTCCTTGTGGGTCTTGAAGGATTCCTCCCACATGCCATCGACGTCGCCGTCACGCCGCTCCCGCTGCTGCTCAAAGTCAAACAGCCCGCGGCCATTCACCGTCGCAACGGCAGTCTGGAAAGGAAAAGCGGGCAAGCGGGATGGTGATTGTATGAGCAGGGTGATTTGTAAAGAGTGAAGGGTATTTGGGGGGGGGGGGCGCTGAAGGTGGCAACACAATGACACAAAGTGCAGCCATATACAATGACAAAGTGCGTACACACACACACACACTGTCTCTCTCTCTCTCTCTCTCTCTCTCTCTCTCTCTCTCTCTCTCTCTCTCTCTCTCTCTCTTTGTCTCTCTCCCTGCCTCTCTCTCTCTCTCTTTGTCTCTCTCCCTGCCTCTCTGTCTCTCTCTGTCTCTGTCTGTCTGTCTGTTTCTCTCTCTCCCTCTTTTCAACTCACGTCGCCGCGCATAAAGTCGATGCGGAAGGGGGCGTAGGTGACGATGATGGAACCGATGACGTCGTGGTTGACAAGAACATCAGCGACAAAGTGCTCATCCGTGGAGCTGTCACTCTTCTGAATCTTCGCGGGCGTGTTCACCAGGTCCTCCGACACAACATCCTGTACGCGGTAGCTGTAACAAACACAAATGTGTGCATGACACAATGGGTGAATGGGTGTCGTGAGTACCAGACACTGGGAACACATGCATCGTCGCAGCGGTGATCAGAAGCGCACGTTGTGCTTGCTTGGGGCGGCCAGGCATGGTTGCGCCTTTCTGCATGAAACACACGTGCTTCGTTCGCATGCGTGGGGCACATGCGTTTCGTCGCACGTTCCATGCGGCACATGCGTTTGCTTGCGTGATGGAAACTCACCGAGGGCGGATGGGCTCCTTCTCGTCAATGACGAGGCGGAGGGTGTCGCTCTCAAAGCCAACAATGGAGGCGCGCAGGAGCTTGGTCTCGCGCGAGTCTTTCAGGTCAAAGACGAGCGCCTGCTGTTGTCCATTGCCGTCACTCCCGGCCACAATCTCCACGCTGCTGCGTTCGACGGTGTACGGCGACGTCCAGTCGCTCTAAAGGCGTGTGATGTTAGAGAGGGAGGGGGACGAAGATGAGAGGATACACAGGCAGCTGGCTTGTGAGGACAGACAGACAGACAGACAGACAGACAGACAGACAGACAGACAGACAGACAGGCAGACAGACAGACAGACAGACAGACAGGCAGACAGACAGACACACGCACACGCACACGCACACGCACACGCACACACACACAGACACAGACACAGACACACACAAACATACACACACACACACACACATCACACACATCACACACATCACACACATCACACACACGCCACACCCGCACCGGCCGATCGAGGATCTGGCGCTTGCAAAACCCGCTCTGCTCGCATGTCTTGAAGTTGCTGCGGTCCACAGCAGTGACAAAGAGCACACTGCCCACCGCCAGCACAGCCAACACCACTGCCTGCACTGACACGGGAGCAGCGCCACCGCCACCACAACGTCTCATCATCATCAGCGTCTCTGTCTGTCAGTTGTCGCTGTTGCCGACGTCAGCCAATTCCGGATACGGCCCTAATAATAAACCATTGTCCTTTAACTAGTTCTATATTCTATGTTTCGCACACAGAATACTGCTATTCCACGCATTAGTGCTCGTGTAACTCATATCTACCACACGATGATGCAGCTGCCGTTGTTCGACAGCACCGCAGTCGAAAGAATATCAGGTGTTACACTCAACAATAGCCACATCCTCTCCGGTTTCCCCACACTACACATTGCTCACATCCCAGGACGAACAACGCGGTTTACCATCTTGCTTGTTTGTTTTTGGCTTGCTTGCTTCTTGCTTGTTGCTTGTTGTTCTCTCGCTCGCCTTTCCTGCTGTTTGTTTGTTTGTTTTTCTTCCCCACCCTTCTCCCCCTTCCCCACCACACCTCGCACACCCCCAATACAGCCAAGCAAGACCATGAGTCGCGGTGCTGTTGTGATCACGCTTGCCGTGGTCGCCGCTGTGTTCAGCGCAGACCTCTGCGCTGCCAAGAACCTCGTCTGGCGCGGTGGAAACACCAACTTTAACAACGCCGACAAGTGCGTTTTGGGTGGCGCGGTTGTGGCAGTACGTGTCGTGTTTGTTGTGCTTGCACGTGTGTTTGTGTGTGCATGTTCGTGTTTTGTGTTTGCTGTTGCAGCGAGTCGTGTGTGCAGTACTCGTGTTCGTGTGATGTCACGCGTGCTCCTTCACCTCACTCACATTGTGCACTCACCCCATCCACACACACACACACACACACACACACACACACACACACACCATACACACACACACACGCCATCCACACACCGCAACGCAGCTGGGACGGTGCACTGCCACTGGAGAGCAGCGATGTCGCCAGTGTCGACCTGCGCTCGGAGCGCGCGTACACGTCGTTCATCTCCAGCGAGACGTACTCCGTTGGCTCCCGCATGAAGCTCCCCATGAACGGCCGCTTCGTCTTTCAGAGCGACCAGGCGGTTGTCATCAAGTTCAAGTGCGTTTATTGTTTCGTGTCGTCGATGTGCCGCCTTGAAAGCGATGCCATGCTTCGTTTGCATTGACATTGGCATTCATGTCCTTGCTTCTCCTTCCTTGCGTCGTCTTCTCTGCTCATCCAAACGAGTGCATCAGATAGCCCATCTCACACTCTCGTTGAACACCGCACGACATTGTGTGTGCGTGTTTTGTTTTTCCTCTTCTTCTTCTGTCCTTTGACTCTCAGTGAGCAAGCATCTGGCCCAGAGGCGCAGTTCAAGGGTCCCCGCGACGACATTGAGTTTTCCTTCAACTGCCCAGACAACGTGAGTTTCATCGCGGTTGGCAATAGTGCTGGTGACGAAGAGTAGAGTAATGGTGTTTCTGCTTTGTACACGCTCTGATTTGCGACTGCAACTGACACGCACACACGCTCACTCACTAACACACAAACGCACCACTCACACAACTGTCACACTTGCACACACACACAACTGTCACACATGCACACACACACACTTACACTTACGCATACACGCACATGACGTGCAGTGGCGGATCTACCGTGGCACGTCGCTGGATGCGACGACGGAGCCTCCGCGTGAGGACGATGACGTGTTCTTTGAGCCAGACAGCTCGTACCACGTGTTCTCCGACGCCCCGCTGACCAACGTGGCGTCGCTGACCATCGGGCACCCGAGCACGGCGGGCCTGGAGATTGAGGACTGCCGCGACCTGCCCGCGCCGCAGTTTGATGGGCTGGACTGCAGCCGCTTCTTCATCAACGACGAGACGGCGTGCACGGACGAGTTCTCATTCAACGACGAGGGCACGCGCGCGTGCATGTACTACAACAGCTGCCCGACGGAGGAGCAGGCTGCAGAGCAGGCCGCGCGTCTCGTGGAGGGCGCGCAATACAAGGACGCCGAGATCCAGGCCGCTGCCGCCACCTTGGACACGGTCAACTTCCAGTTCGACCTGGCCGTGGACGCCCTGTCGCAGAACGAGGACGTTCGCGCTGCGATTGACGCTGCGTTGCAGGACGAGGATTCGCTCGCCGCCCTGGCACCCGCAATGCTGCCAGACCTCAATGGTACGTAGCCGTTGTGCTGGCGGTGGTAGCGATGTATTGTGTGCGTTGGTGGGTGTGTATGTAAGTGTGTACGTGTGTGTGTTCGTGTGTTCGTTGGTTCGTGTGTATCAGTGTTCGTGTGTTCGTTGGTTCGTGTGTATCAGTGTTTGTGTGTGTGTGTGTGTGTGTGTGTGTGTGTTATTTCGTGTGCGTCTTTACGTGAATGATATCGCTGTTGGGACGTCACTTGCGCCTTCGCATGCTTCCGCCCTCCCTACCTCCTTACCCTTCCTTTCCACGCTTTCACCTCTTCCCACCAACTCATCCCCAACCTCCAACCCAAAACTCCCAACTCACTCCTCCCCTCTTTGAAAACCAAAAACGGATAGGCACGTCGTTCACGTGGACGGTGTGGTCGCTGTCCGCCGCCTACAGCGACATGACCCTCACCCTCTCCGGCGTCGCCACCGCCCCCCGCGCCGCCTTTGCTGTCCCCGGCACAGACCCGCGCCTCTTTGATCCCACCGCCACCCTGACCCTCGCCAACCCCACGGCCGGGGTCGACGGCGCGTTCCAGACGGAGACGCGTGTCCTGGCCCGCGTGCACGTGGCCGCGCTCGCCTCAGCCCACGCCACCGCCGACGCCCTCGCAGCCGTCAACACCACCTGTGCCGACGAGGCAGCGTGCACCCAGATTGCGAGCGTGGTGCAGGCCCTCAGCAAGGTGGACAAGGCGGCAGGGAGCTCGTTCGACACGTCCATGCTGGTGAGCACGGTGTGCAAGGACTACACGTGCCCGTCGGACCCGGACCAGCTCAAGGCGGCGATTGCGCAGGCGCTCGGCAACGACACCACTGTCAGCGACGACGACATTGCTGCGCTGGCTGGCGCGCTTACCGGGCTCAACGCCACAGACAACGGGGACCTGCAGGCGTTCCTGGAGAGCGACAATGCAATTGCCGCTGGTGATGCCCTCAACACGGCCGACGCCGCCGTGGTGGCCGCCCAGCCCATCACCCGCACCATCATCTCGGACCCGATTGTGTTTGGCGTGCACCTGCCCGCGCTGACGCTGCGGCTGCTGGTGAACACGGCCAACCGCGCGGCGTTTATCGCGGAGATGAAGCAGCGCTTCCTGGCCGCCGTCGCCGCGGACGAGGTGCTCGGCATGGAGCTCATCCTCAGCACCAGCGCCAACACCGGCAGTGACAGCAGCACTGCCCGCCGACGCCGTGCCGCTGGCGACGACGCAAACGTGGTGGTTGAGCTGATTGTGACGTACAAGGTGACATGTCTGGAGGACCTGTGCGATGCGCTGGTGGTGACGAGCGACCACCCGTCGTACCAGGCGCTGGTGGCGGCTGCAAACGGCGCCGCAGCCACCATTGACCCGCAGGCGTACGAGTGCTTCATCACCACCCTCAGCAGCGGCGCCATCCAGATTGACGACCTGCCCTCCTCCTCTTGCCTGTACGACCGCGCACGGGAGCTGCTCGCGGCCTCTGGTGGCGACGCTGCCGCCGCCTACGACGCCCTCATCGCCGCCACCACCTGCGGGCCGGCCGGGTCGCTGCCCACGGGCGACTGCGTGCTCGACGTTGCCGCAGACGTCGTCGCGCAGATTGAGACGCGTGTGCAGAACGCCGTCAACGCTGCCACCACCACCACCTCCACCACCACGGCCACCAAGCCCGTCATCTCGACCTCCAGCAGCAGCACGACTGCGCCCGTGACCATTGCGCCTGCGGAGTCGAGCGCCGCGAGCGTGGGCGTCATTGCTGGCGGCGCTGCTGCCGGTGTTGTCGCCCTCATTGCCGTTGTCATCCTCATCGTCGTCCTCCAGCGGTATGCGGTCGATTGCTCCTCGTGCATGTGGGGTGGCGTTGGCGTGGGGTCGTGATTGTGTCGGCGTGCACCCTGCTTTCGTTGCTGTCGTTGCTGCGTGCGGGCGACTGTTCCGTTTGATGACATTGCAATGTCACTGCTTGTTGATGATGAGAATCATGTTTGTGTGTGTGTGCACACCCCACCCCTAACAACCATCGTCGCAACCATCGCCATCACAACCATCATCGTTGCCGTCGCGTGCACACAGTCGCGGCGGCTCCCGCAGCTCGGGCAAGGCCGGCACCGCTGTTGACGCCAACAGACACGTCGTCGCCTTTGAAAACCCAATGTGTACGTGTGTGAGTGTGAGTGAGTGTACATGTGCATGTGTGTGCCTGTGTGTGTGCGTGTTGGTCGAATATCCCTCGAATTGTCCGTCCACGCATCACGTCGGCTCTAACGTCTTCATCTGCGTCACGTTGTGTTCAGACGACGACCCCGGCCTCAACCCGGCTATGGTGCAGCCCGTCTACGAGGCAGCAGGCGACAAGCCAGAGGAAGAAGGTGCGCCGTTTGTGTGTGTGTGTGTGCGTGTGCGTGTGTGTGTTTGTGTTTGTGTGTTTGTGTGTTATGCGTGTTATGCGTGTTATGCGTGATTGTGATTCTTCTTTGCTTCATCGCCCACTTATCCATGGTGCCCAGCGTTCGCTCCACTTCATATCGCCTCACCTCATTTTACCTCACCTCACCTCACCTTACCTCACTACGCACGCGCATGACTTGGTGCAGGCCTGTACGACGAGCCTGCGTTTACGGTTGGTCTAAACGACAAGACGAACCCCATCTACCAGTCCAACGAGGACCTCGCGGAGAGCGACTACGACAACATCGCCGATAGCGAGGACGATGGCCCAGACGGCACCGGCTACCTCGGTACGTGCGTGTGTGTGTCATGTGTCATGTGTGTGTGTGTGTGTGTGTGTGTGTGTGTCGTGTCTGCTGTAGCTCTCTTCTTTTTTTCACGCGTGACATCTCCAACCCTCACAATCACCCATTAACCCCCCCCCACCCCCAACTTCGACAGACGTTGCCCCCGAAGTGGAGGACGAGTGATGCAATGTGGCGCATCCGCAATCACATCCGCAGTCACATACGCTCCCTCTTCCTGCCCCCTGACATGTTGACTCTCCCCATATGCACGCGCTGTCAAACCTTACCCTGCGTTCTTGCCCCCCTCCCTTCTTCTTCTTTCGTTGCCCCTGCTCACCCTCCCTCACTGCTTTCCCTTGTTTTGTTACACCGACCTGCCTGCCTGCTGCATGCATTTCTTGCTGTTTCTGGGCGCTGCGTGCGCACCTCCCCTTGTTCTCCCTTTCCTACCTCTGTTGCACAATGAACAACTGAACACACCACCAGCATTGGCAAACAAGTGACCTTGACGTGTCGCAACGGCGGCTGAGTTGATGACCGAGTGGAAAGACTTCTTCCTTCAGAGAGCCGCCACAACAAGGCGGTGTGCTGTTTGGCTAGAATTTCACAGCAAGTTTTCAACAAATTATCCACAACTCGCCGCACAAACCAAGCCAAACTCGCTCCTCGCTCGCTCGCAGTTGCTGACTTGTGTCATCCACCTTCGAAGCAGTACAACATACATCACACATCCACCTTCAACGACCCAGTACAACAAACAACACAAGACACACACACACACACACACACACACACACACACACACACACATCCACATCCACACATCCAAAGATGGGCGACATGGATGACCCGGATCAGCTCCTCAGCATGTTTATGGTATGGCTTTCTTTCTTACCCTGTTTTCTTTTCGCGCGCGCGAACGAACAACACTGCAGCAACGAATGTGTCCGCGCCCTGAAATACAACCGAATGCTCACACTGCGGTGAATGCCTTGCGTGCATCTCCTTGTCGCCTCTCCGTATGCTCGACGTGTGTGTGCAGTCGCTTGGGACCACTGACCATGGCACGCTCATCGACCAGTTCAAAAAGGTGTGTTGTTGGGCTGCTGTTGTTGATGCGTATGCGCGAGCGTGCCGGGCTTGTCGGCGCGGCAAATTGTTGGTGGCGAAGCCTGTGTATTGATGCCAGTGTGAAACACTTTGCCTCATGCTTCATGTACCACATGGACCTGCAGGTGGTTCGGATTGATGACGACAGCCTTGCGTCGTTCTTTCTCGAGGCAAACAACTGGAACCTGCAGGTTCGTTCAGAGTAGTCAGTGAGCTTGCGAGGGGCCCCGCGCGTGGAAGGAGGGATCCAGGGCGTCGTTGCTGCCAACTTCAACGTTGATGAGAGCCACACATGCCTTGTTCCGTGAACCGCTGCGTGTGGTATATTGATGCACAACGTTTCCCGATTGCACATGTGTGTGTGTGTGTGTGTGTGTGTGTGTGTGCAGGGCGCGGTGTGGTCATACTTTGACCAACAGGGTTCCGGTAACCAGATGTACATTCCAAGACAGAGACCGCAAGCAGGTGGGCGCGTGCGATTGTGGTTGTGAATGTGAACATGATGGTGTGCGTGGTTGCTGTTGCGTTGCTGTGTGCTGTTGGGTGTGTTTTACGTTCACATTGCGCCTCACCTGCCACTCGCGTCACCTTCATGCGTGTTCCTCAGAACTGATTGGCGAAATGACTGCCTCACACGGCAGCGACGCCGTCGGCTCTGGACAGCAGTTTACAAAAACGTGGCGGTGTGTGTGTGTGTGTGTGTGTGTGTGTGTGTGTGTGTGTGTGCGTGTGTGTGTGTGTGTGTGTGTGTGTGTGTGTGTTTGTCCTCAATGCAACGCTTGCACTGCCTCCCCTCATTGTGAAGTCACCGTCTCACCCCGTTGCCTGCACAGTTTTCGCAACACTGGCACGACACACTGGCCGCACTCGACCGTATTTGCCTTTCTCAACGTAAGCGCCGGGTGCGCATGTATTTGTGTGTTGTGTGATGACACCTCTGTGATCATGACACACCGCGCCCTTCAGTCGTTGCACATGATGTCCTCGTTCCTTCCGCACATTGCCTCCCCCCCCCCTTCACCGCATTCCCTCCCTTGCCTCCACAACCCCTCGACCTCACCCACCACCATCACCACCTCCAGGGCGAGAGGATGGGTGCGCCGTCTCGTGTCGCCGTGCCGCCCGCTGCTCCCGGCGAATTTGCAGACGTCACAGTCACATTCACAGCACCGCGCGGTACGGTGCCTGGTGGCCATTGCAGGGAGGGCAGGGGTCTGGGAGGTGCTGGTGTGCTTGGCGATGCTTGGTGCTACTGTGTGCTTGAAAACTGGGCCATTCTGGCTCGACACAGAACAGTGCGCATGTGTGTGTGTGTGTGCGTGTTTCGTGCATTTGCAGTTTTGTGTGTATGTATTGCTCATTCAACCATGTACACGTGTGTCAAATGGAACAGAGCCGGGCCAATATGTCGGCACGTGGCGACTCCAGCACAGCGACCACGTCACCGAGGTATCATGTCAAGCATATAATGACTTACACACACACACACACACACACACACACATACACACGCAAAACCGACCAAACAAAATGAGTTCAACCATTCTCCAACAAACTGACACACACACACACACACACACACACACACACACACACACACACACACACACACACACATTCGACCCTCCACCTTCGACCCTTCTCCTAACGAACACCCCACCCTCCCTGTTCGCAGTGTTTTGGCGAAGAGGTGTGGGTGATTCTGAACGTGACAGATGACGGTGGCGTGGGTCTCGTGCAGGCCATGCAGTCCACATCCATGGGCGAGGGCGGTGGGCAGCAGCAGCAGTCGTCATCGTCATCGTTTGGCGGCGGGTTTGGTGTGATGCAACAGCAGCACGGCGGCTCGTTTGGTGGACAGCAGATGCAGATGCAGATGCAAGGGCAGGGCCAGGGATCCATGATGATGCAGGGGCACGGTGAGCCACAACAGCAACAACAGCAGCCCCAGCAACCCTCGTTTGGACGCTCCGTGGGCGCATTTGGCGTCCATGATTCAGCATCTCCACACCACCACCACCACCACTTTGGTGGACCTCAGTGAAGACGAAGGACGAGCAAAACAAAGAACTAAGCAGAATTGTATGTGCGTGTGTGTGTGTGTGTGTGTGTGTGTGTGTGTGTGTGTGTGTGTGTGTGTGTGTGTGTGTGTGTGCGTGATATGGCATCGGCTCTGGGACCATGTGTGTTTGTGCTTCAACCGAGCGACATTGATGTTGTTCTCATGCTGTGCCTGATTGGCTGGTTCCCACTCTTTTCCTTTCTCCCCCTTTCGTTACTCTTCCCGCATACAAGCCTAACTGCATTCAGCAGGTGTGTATGTGTGTATGTATGTATGTGTGTGTGTGTGTGTGTGGGAGTGAGAGAGACAGACAGACACACACACAGGCACACACACAGACACACACATAGAAAGAGCATGTACACACAACACAACACAACACAACACACACACAACACACACAACACACAAACAACAACATGCACCAAAATTATCAGACTGAATTCAGTCGCTACTGCCAGTTGCGCAACATGGCACAAAGCTAAATTTGGCGGTTGCGGTGTTGCAGCAATGGCGATGACAAAGCAACATCTCACACAAAGCAACATGGAAGGTTTTGTGGGGTCTTTCCCTCCCTTATTGTCACCGCCGTTGGCTTTTGTTTTCCACTCACGCAACAAGCTGAGCAGTGCAGAACAACACACACAGCGGCTGCTGAACACGCGAGCGATCGCTTCTCTGCCACGGTATTTTCATCTTGACAGCTTGACAACAGGTGTGTGTGCGCGTGTTTGGCTTTGTCGCCGTTGGAGAGATATTTTTGTTGGGTGTCGCTTGTGCGATCGGCTGCGTTGCCGTGTTCATTTCTTTCCTTCCCGCTCCTCCACCCTTTTGCGTGAGTGCTGTTTTGCATGTTGTGATCTGACATGTGACACCGTCGCATATGGCAAGGACAGAAGCAATCTCACCCGGTCACGTGGTCTTGCTTCTTCTGCGATCTGCACGACTTACTCATCCACTCACCCCACTACGTACCCCTCGCTCACCCATCTCTCCACACACACTACACACACACACGCACACACACACACACACTACATACAAACTCTCTCTCTCTCTCTCTCTCTCTCTCTCTCCAACCCATCCATTCATCACACACGCTCTGCAGATACATACCGTTGATCTCGCCTCCCCGCAAGTCCCCTACAACAACCAACAACCAACACCGACACCATGCGCGAAATCGTCCACATCCAGGCTGGCCAGTGCGGCAACCAGATTGGTGCCAAGTTCTGGGAGGTCATCTCCGACGAGCACGGCATTGACCCAACGGGCACTGCCACGGGTGACTCGGACCTCCAGCTCGAGCGCATCAACGTCTACTACAACGAGGCCACCGGCGGCAAGTATGTGCCCCGCGCCGTCCTCGTCGATCTGGAGCCCGGCACGATGGACTCCGTCCGCTCCGGTCCCTACGGCCAGCTCTTCCGCCCCGACAACTTTGTCTTCGGCCAGTCTGGCGCCGGCAACAACTGGGCCAAGGGCCACTACACCGAGGGCGCCGAGCTTGTCGACGCCGTCCTCGACGTTGTCCGCAAGGAGGCCGAGGGCTGCGACTGCCTTCAGGGCTTCCAGCTCACACACTCCCTCGGTGGCGGTACCGGCTCTGGCATGGGCACGCTGCTCATCTCCAAGATCCGCGAGGAGTACCCCGACCGCATCATGTGCACCTTCTCCGTCGTGCCTTCCCCCAAGGTGTCCGACACCGTCGTCGAGCCCTACAACGCCACCCTCTCTGTCCACCAGCTTGTTGAGAACACCGACGAGACGTACTGCATCGACAACGAGGCCCTCTACGACATCTGCTTCCGTACCCTCAAGCTCACCACCCCCACTTACGGCGACCTCAACCACCTCGTCTCCGCCTGCATGAGCGGCATCACCACCTGCCTCCGCTTCCCTGGCCAGCTCAACGCCGATCTGCGCAAGCTCGCCGTCAACATGGTTCCCTTCCCCCGTCTCCACTTCTTCATGCCTGGCTTTGCTCCTCTCACCAGCCGCGGCTCCCAGCAGTACCGCGCCCTGACCGTCCCCGAGCTCACCCAGCAGATGTTCGACGCCAAGAACATGATGGCCGCCTGCGACCCCCGCCACGGCCGCTACCTCACCGTCGCCGCCATCTTCCGTGGCCGCATGTCCATGAAGGAGGTTGACGAGCAGATGCTCAACGTCCAGAACAAGAACAGCTCGTACTTTGTCGAGTGGATCCCCAACAACATCACCACCGCCGTCTGCGACATTCCTCCCCGCGGCCTCAAGATGTCTGCCACCTTCATTGGCAACAGCACCTCCATCCAGGAGCTCTTCAAGCGCATCAGCGAGCAGTTCACCGCCATGTTCCGCCGCAAGGCCTTCCTTCACTGGTACACTGGCGAGGGTATGGACGAGATGGAGTTCACCGAGGCCGAGTCCAACATGAACGACCTCGTCTCCGAGTACCAGCAGTACCAGGACGCCACCGCCGAGGAGGAGGGCGAGTTCGACGAGGAGGAGGAGGAGTACGATGACTGAGCGCACTCGCTCCCTCGTCTGGGCCGTGCCATGTGACTTTTTGTCTGCCTGCTTTGCTGGTGCACACCGCGGCATGCCTTTGTCGTGGCGTGCACCTGTCTTGTGACGGACAAGCTCACGCCTGTCACGTGTCCCACGCTCCCTCTTTCTTGCTTGTTCCCCTTTGTCCCCCCCCCCCTGCGTTGTTGCTCGCTTGCTTACTGACTGACTGAGGTGCCTGTCTGTTGATTTCGTTTCATGCCCAACTCGCCCGCCATTGTCGTTCCCCTCTGTCCTGTGTCATGCATGGCCTTGTCGTGCCATCCCCACCCCTGCCTGCCTCCCACTGTCCCTGCCGTTTGTTCCCCTGAATTGCTTGTTTAAACGATGGCCCGTACACCGTTCAAAGGAGATGATGGCATGGGACGGGAGAATGGATTAAGATGGGGCTGTGAGGAAGGAGAGGGAGGGTGCAGTTGAGAGAAGCGTGAAGGCAGATACAAGCGTCTCAAGCACACAAAGAATACGAATGTTTGTGCATGATTTCTTCTAATTTTCTACAAACAACCACATCCAGGTCAGCGCGGTGCTTGCGTGTTGTGTTGTGGTGTGTTGTGTTTGGCGCCCGACTGTTTCGTTTCACCGGCGCCAGGGGACGGGCAGCACACTGCATGATGCCGTGCTTTGAGAGTGGGGTTGCACGTTTTGTGGAGCTTGTTGCTCGTTGACTTTCTCACACGTTGCTACACTGATGTGTTCTTTTGTTTGGTTTGTGTTGTTTGGACGTGCTGCTGCTGTTGTTGTTGTTGTTGCTGTTGTTGCTGTTGTTGTTGCTGTTGTTTGCGTCAGTGGTCTGGTTTTTTGCTGCGCTGGATCCAATCACAGCAACACCAGCTCGTCGTGAAATGACTGGCCGTGCTCCACCTGGACGGCCTCCGCCACCGGCAGCCTCGTGCGTGTATATCTATGTGTGTGTCTGTGTGTGTGCGTGTGTGTGCCTGTGTGTGTGTGTGCATATGTGTGTGTACGTGTCTCTGTGTGTGCGTGTGCGTGCGTACGTCTCTGTCTGTCTGTCTGTCTGTGTGCGTGTGTGCGTGTGTGCGTGTGTGCGTGTGTGCGTGCGTGCGTGTCTGTTTGCCTCCAACTCTGCTTGTCAACTCGTTTCCACTGCTTCCTCTTCTCGCCGTGCCCTCATGTTCCATTTGATGTTGTGCTGTTCGGCTTTTCCTTTGGGTTTGCACCAATTGCTACAGCCACGGCCAACGACCAGGTGCGTCCGTACACACTTGCATTTGCCGTGCTATCATGCCGTGTAATTTGCTTATCCTTGCTTGCTCGTCTCACTCCCACGCATGTGTTGTTGTCTCGACCATGTTCTGCAGAACGCCCGCCACCTGTGATCCCCGCCTCACGCGCACCTCTCAGCCAGGTGTGTGTGTGTGTGTGTGTCTGTGTGTGTGTCTGTGTGTGTGTCTGTGTGTGTGTGTGTGTGTGCGTGTGTATGTGTGTCTGTGTGTGTGTGTGTGTCTGTGTCTGTGTCTGTGTGTGTGTGTATGTATGTGTGTGTGTGTATGTGTGTCTGTGTGTGCCTGTGTGACTGTGTCTGTGTGTGCCTGTATGCGTCTCTATATATCCGCATGGCTGCGTTCTGTTCGTAAATGTGCCTGCCACACACGTTGGCTCTGCCACCGTGCCATCGATGTGATCTTCACACCCGCCCGCCACTGTCCCTCCGTCGTATCAGCCACCGAGCGAGGCGCCGCCCCAGCGCCCGCGTGCCCAACAGGCGGCATCATCCCGCGCCCGCGTGGCGGCCCGTGCAGCAGCAGCACAGCGCGGCCTCAGGTGCGGACTCTTCGTGTCCTGCGTTCCCAAACACTGCGCTGATGCAGTACATGCGCACAGTAGCCCGGCATCCTCTGCCCCCTCACATAACACCATCACATCACATCACATCACACAATCACATCACATAACCACATCACATTACCTGGCCACCCCAGACCCCAGCGCAGTGCTCCCGCAGCGCCGCCATCAACGGCAGCACCAGTGCGAGCAGCACCAACAGCGCCGCCGCCAGCCCGACTCCCACCCCGACGCGTCGTGGAAGGTGCGCGGTGCGCAGCTGTTGAAGCCTGGGGTGGGGTGTGGATTCAAGACAGAGCGGTGGCAGCGGTGATGGTGCACTCACATAACACTGCTGTCGCCCACGTGCTGCCGCCCCTCACACACACGCACACACACGCGCGCACACACACACACACACACACAACACACACACACACGCACACACACACACACGCACACACGCACACACCCTTGCAGGCCCACCGCCAGCTGATGCACCGCCACCGCGCCCGCCATCGCACGGGTCACGGCCCCGCCCCGCACGCCAGGCATCGCTCGACTCGGTATGCAGTCGGTGTCACCATGCACCCTGCACTGCCGTGCTGCGCTTGCCAGCAGATGTTGGCGCCCTGTTTCCTGTGAGGGCTCATTTGTCGCCACTTAAATTATACCGCTGCTCACTGCTGCTCTCATCAACATGTGTGTGTGTGTGTGTTTAGACACCACCAGCGCGGCCGCCGCCTGCAAAGACAGCGTCGCCTTCCCACCACGCGCCCATTCGACCTGCCCCGGCCCCCGTCCGGGTGAGACGGCTGATGTTGCACATACGTGGCCAATCCACAATGTGTTCTCCTCGTTGTTCGACAACGCACGCAAGCATGCATCCAATTCACCCACCCACTTACCCACCCAATCACCCAATCACTCACTCGCTCACACGCTGACACACAATCGCCCCCACGCGCATGACACAACCCCTGCCTGCAGACTGCACCTGCTCGTCCACCACCCGTCACAACATCCCCCGCCACCGCCACCGTTCCCACCACGACCGCCAGTGCCACGACTGCCGTGACATCAACGCCGCCACCGAAACCATCACCACCGCGTCCAGCTCAGCCAACACCAACAGCAGCACCACCACCAGCACCACCAGCAGCCAAAACAGCAACGACAGCGGTATCATCACCATCACCGCCGCGGCCGTCGCGCCCTCCGCCCCCACGCAGTGCAACCGTCTCGTCAACGGCAGGGCGCGCACCGGGGACACACCCGGCCGTGCGACGCGGTACAACAGGCGGCGGCAGTAGTGCTGTGAAGGTACAGGAGGCAGCGCGCACGGCTGCCGCCGAAGCGACAACGACGACGACGACGACGACGACGACCGTCAGCATCATGGCTGCTGCCGCTGAGGTGACGACAAGGCAGTCGACGCAAGATGGTTCCGCCACTACGGCTGTCACGGCCAGCACAGCAGCTGCTGCCATCAGTGCGACCACGAGCACAGCCACCACTGCAGGCATCACCACCACCAGCGCTTCTACCACTGCAAGTGCAAGTGCTGCCGTTGCCGTTAACACAACGAATACGGACACAGACACAGGCACAAGCACGCCGTCCCCCAGCGCGCTCCCTGCGCCGCGTATTTCAAACGCGAGCAGCAGCGGTGTGAGCAGCTGGCGTGACAGCGCCCGCACGACGTCCTCTGCGGGTGCTGAGTCAGCACGAGAGTCAGCAGTGCCGGACGCCAGGTCCGAGGCAGCGGTGGTGCCGGGGCACGGCAGCACCACGCCAACCACGGCGGCAGCATCGAGCCGGGAGGAGGAGGAAGCAGACAAGATCGCAGACACCACCACCACCACCACCACGCCAACGGAGGCAGCAACAACTGCAGCTGGTGATGACGATGATGGCAGGAGCGAACCTCGTGATGTCGAGGCAGGGCAGCCGAGGACCGCAAGTGCTGGGCAGGGGCGGGACGAGAGTGCTGATGTGGCGACGACGGTCGGCGATGGTGCAGCAGTAAAGGCGAAGGAGGACAAAGAAGAAGAAGAAAAGGCGACGACTAAGGCTGAGGAGGAAGATGAGAAGTGCGCGGCTGATGATGGCCAGGCTGCCGCCACGACTGCCACAGCAGATGCCACAACACAGGCAGACACCACTGCGACAGGAACAGCGCCAGTACCGGCACCATCGGAAGCGAAAACAACACCAGCCGTGACGGCTGGCGTGGCGGTGGCGAGCGTGACGGTGACATCCACATCAACTGACGCTGAGGAAGTGCACGAGGATAAAGAGGGGCCGGAACAGCCACCAGAACCGCTGCAAGAGGAGAAGGGGAAGAAGAATGCTGCGTCAGCTTCGGTGATTTTGGGCAGCGGGGAGGACGCTGGTGAGACGACGACAGATGGAGATGACGCGACGATGCACCCAGTACCCGAACCAGCACCAGCAGAGGTAGAGGCACGCGATGAAGGTGGTGTGGTGGAAGAACAGAGTGATGTGGGTGGCGTTGCTCGGGGTGGCACAGACACAACGGAGCAAGCCGAAGTTGCGACGACCCCAGCTGGTGCTGCTGCTGGTGATGAAGAGAGGACGAGTGCCATGAAGTCGGACGGCGGTAGCGGTGCGATGACATTGGAGGACACGGCAGGACCGCGGGAATCGAGCACAGACGAGGCGGTGAAGTGCACGGTGATGGAGGAGGAGGTGGAGGAGGAGGAGAAGGCAACACCGCAGGATAGCGTGAGCGAGAAGAACGATGAGGGAGAACAGAACGAAGATCAGGAACCGGGGCAGGAAGCAGAAACCGCACGGGAGGAATTGAGGATCGAGGAAGGTGGCACGGCGGAGGAACACGGGGAAGAAGCAGAGGAGGCAACCACAGAGGCGAAGGAAGAGCAGGCGAAGACAGGGAAGGGTGTGGCGTCGCCTGAAGAACAGGAAGCAGCGAAGGCGAGCGAAGCGACGGAGGATAAACCCGAGGAAGGAAAGGCGGGAGTGGTGGAACACGAGCAAGAGCCATCGCCAGGCACAGCAGCAGGCGTAAGCAAGGAAGAGGTGAAGGAACAGCAGGAGGAGGTGAAGGAACACGTTGCGGACCAGACACCGACAGCAGATGCGCCGGTCGTGGCTGCATTGGAGACTGGTGCCGCTGAAGGGAAACAGGGGAGCGCCGAGCAACATGGGAGAGACGAGCGCGGCGGTGCACAGGCGGTGCAGGAAAAGTCAACACTGGACGACGGCGAGGTCGCAGTGTCGGAGAAGGAAGAAGACAAGGGGCAGGCAGCGCGAGGAGAAGAGGAAGGAGAAGGGAGGCAGGTGGAGAAGGACGGTAAGGAACAAACAGAAGCGCCTGATGCCGCCCCAACAGACGTGCAGGCAGAGGCAGCAGAGGCAAAGGCAGAGCAAGATCAAGACGCATCAGCGCCAGCACCACCACCACCTCCTCCTCCGCCTCCGCCACCACCGCCTCCGCCATCTGCGGATTTGGGTGCGGCGGCGCCCAAGCAGCCAGCAGCGCCGGCCTTTCCGGGCGATTTCCTCGCAGCAATCAGGGTGCGCAGTGTGTGTGTTTGTGTGTGTGTGTGTGTGTGTGTGTGTGTGTCTGTGTCTGTGTCTGTGTCTGTGTGTGTGTGTGTTTGTGTGTGTGTGTGTGTGTGTGCGTGCGTGTGTGTGTGTGTGTGTGTGTGTGTCAGTGTGTCGGTGCGTGTCCACGAATGTGTTTCATATCACGATCGGTGTTCTGTTTTCATTGACACATTCTGCCATTCCACGTTATGGCAATCAATGCAGGGTGGTGTTGCGCTCAAAGCCGTGGACACATCCCAGGACAACGCAGCACAGCCCGCACAAAGTACGCAATGCCCACATCTGTGTGTGTGTGTGTGTGTGTGTGTGTGTGTGTGTGTGTGTGTGTGTGTGTGTGCCGTGATTTGAGCTCACAGAATGGTCTTGTCCTGATTTGAACGGCACATTGCAGGCCAGCCACTTGACCTCGCGTCTGTCATCAAGAGCGCCTTCAAGCGGGTATGAACGCACGAACACATGAACGCTAGTGGATGTGAATATGTGTATTGGTGTCGGGCCTTTCATTGGTTTGTATCATACTAATTGTGTCCTTGTCTGATAAGCTGACACGGCTGCAACGCTCACACGCACATGCACACGTGCATACGCTCGCACACCGCCTGTGCCTCGTTTCTCCAACAGGGGTCGCCCTCTCTTCGCAAGACGAGCATGTCTGCTGACAACGATCGCAGAAACACATATGCAAGACGCAGGATAGAGGTTCGTTCAATGTGTGTGTGTTTGTTTGTTTGTTTGTTTGTTTGTTTGTTTGTTTGTTTGTTTGTTTGTTTGTTTGTTTGTTTGTTTGTTTGTTTGTTTGTTTGTTTGTTTGTTTGTGGTGACACATGACGGCTCACTGCATTCGCGTTGTTCTGCGTGCGTGTGTGCACAGGAGGAGAAACGGGAGCGGGAGCGGGCGCTGGAGGAGGAACGACGGCGACAGGAGCGATACGAGGCCATGGAGAAGGAACGCATCAGGCGACAGGAGGAGGAGAGGTGTGTGTGTCTGTGTCTGTGTCTGTGTGTCTGTGTGTCTGTGTGTGTGTGTGTGTGTGTGTCTGTGTCTGTGTGTGTGTGTGTGTGTGGGTCTCATGAGATGTGGTGCGAAGTAGATTTCGTGACCGAGAGGGGTTGTAGCAAAACGCAACTTAAAACATGTAAATAAATCCGCACACGAAAAAATAGACGCGAACAATCTCGATCTACCTGGGGCCTTCAATCGCGTCACTAAGGCACGTAATTCGGCCAAAAACTGGTGCAGCATCCACGGTCTGTGATGTCCTCTACCGCCCACCACCATAGCTGTTTCTTTATG